TTTATATAAATATATATATATATATATATATATATAAATAAAAGGAATGCACAAATACCATTTTTACAAGTACAAATACTGATACACTTTTGTTTATTGTCATGTGACAGTTTTTCTAAAACAATACAGACTAATGATTTCAGGACAGCGGTGGAGTGCCGGAGCCAGTTCCCAGCCGCAACCTTGGTAGTTGAAAATGCCAAGTATCGGCCCCGGTATCTGAACATCCCTAGCTGCTACTGAAAATGTTAACATGGTTACCTGCCTGTGTCCAGTGGGGGAATTTCTCCTTCACCTTCAGCTAGACAGAAAGTTGTCAGGCCCATTCACCCCTGAATGGGCCTGACAACATTGCCACAATGTACATGTTAAAGTGCATGGCCTCAGCACATGGCAATGCACCTGCTCCATGTGTGATGCGTTGTGGTGCCATTAATAGTAAATGACACCCCAATGTATTGTTCAGTAGAGCCCAAAAACAAAGAACAATGTGGTGTGCGGCACTGTTAAAGGGTCATGTATGGGGTTATTTTTCCAACCGTTGTGGTTACACTTAAAGGAGAACTATGGGGTTAAGGCTTTTCCCCATAGTTCTCCTTAGGGTAACGGGAGGACACAAACTAGCATCCTCCCGTCACCCTAAGCTCAGTATACCGCAAGCTGTAGCTCGCGGTATACTGAGACACGGCAGTATACCGCGAGCTGCTGCTCACGGTATACTGATACGCCGCAGCTGCGTGACTGACAGCTGGCTCAGCCTATCTAAAGGCATAGCCAGCTGTACCCGCCCTGTCCGTTCCGCCAGTCAGATCGGAGCGGGGTAGGGGGAATCCAGTCCCTCTCATGTCACGGCAGAGAGCCGTGACAGGATCGAGAGGTGAGCGAACGCCGTTATGTGTTCGCTCACCTCCCGATCTACTGAGCTGACCTGTGACAGTCTCATTGTCACAGGTCGGCTAGAACTATGAGGTGAGTGAAAAGCACCAACCTCATAGTTCTCCTTTAAAAGGGGCCGATCTATAAAAGTTACACCCAGTTTATAGCTGGATGGTGGCCAGTTGTACAGCACCACCACCACTAGATGGAGCGGAGAAGCATAGGAATATCCGATGCTCCTTGGCGCCATCTAGGGGCAACAGTGTTGCTCTTTTATTTAGTTTCGGATAGCATATAAAGAGAATAAAACTCAGTAAGGGCGTTACTGGGTTCAGTGTACATTTCTGCAAGGTGAGGGAAATCAAAAACTCTTAGACAGTTGTCTTCATTAGAAGATTAATATTCAGGTCCTCAGGTATTCAGGGCCCACCGCACTCCTGACCGGTAATATCCTTTTGGAATGGGTGGGTTTTCTATCAAAAAAGAAGGGGGGCACAGGAACTCCAGTATGCTGATCAATACGCCTTTATTTGACACATTCTCAGTCAAAACCTGATGAAGGGGACCCTGCATGGCCCCAAAACGTTGTGTTATGCTATACTGAGCATGCATCAATAAAAAGGCATATTGATCAGCATACTGGGAGTTCCAGTGGCCCTTTTCTGATATTGAACGGCGCCATCCGTTTGTCACTGCAGAGTGCCAGTGACACCTTCCATTGGAAGATTGACCCACACCTATTGTTCTGGTGAGAACCGTTAAATTTTTTGATATCCCTTCACTTTTGTTTTTCAGGGACAATGATCACAAAGACAAATAGGAGAAGGATGAACCTCCCCAGCAGAAAATGTAAAAAAATATATATTTTTTTTTTATTATTTTTTTTTGCTGTAACAAAAAAGAAGAGGGGGGGGAG